AAAGCTCATCTCCTTCGTTGGTGATGCTGGTCCAAGAACATATGAGATTCCAATTGATTCTAAGGTCTCAGATGCAGTTACAAACAATTGGTGGAACTTCAGAGGAGCTAGAAGTGAAAATATGGTAACTCTGTTGTCTCACCTCACTATGATCAACTTATCGCAGGACCAGTCTGATGTGTACAAATGGAAAGATGGAGTCGGTCCACTTAAAGACAGCTTCAAGTTCTCCAAAGTTAGACAGCAGCTGGCGGTTCCATCTGAAGAGGTCCAGTAGCACAAGGAGGTTTGGTTTTCTGGACACATCCCTAAACATGCTTTCATCCTATGGTTGGCTTGTTTGGATAGGTTGAGCACAAAATCTAAGCTGGTTAGATGGGGTGTTTTGGAAGACAGCACTTGTGTTCTATGTGAGATTTACCATGAGACGAGAGATCACCTTCTCTTCAGTTGCCCGTATAGCCAAGATGTGTGGAGATTGGGTTTTCAAAGGCTCAAGGCTCACTATGTTGGGTTTGGAACATGGATTGTCTTTCAAAGATGGTTGAAAAGGAGTTATCCACCTACAGCAGAAAACAACTTGAGACTACTCATGGCTCAAGAAATTATATAGGGGTTGTAGAAACAACGAAACGACCGCATCTTCAACAACAAATCATTGCCGGCTGAGCTTATGTTCAAGAAGGTGGATAGGGGAGTGCGCGACTCCTGTTTGGCTCGTAAGGAAAGACACAGCTTTTGTGACTCCCTTGCTCTTTGGTTCGGAGGTACCTAATCTTCATTGTAATGTGCTAGTTTTCTTTGGTTTTTCTTTTCTTAGCCTTCATGGTCTTTTGACAGAAGGTTTAATATTTCTCCCACTATAACCATCTCCTAAAGTAATAAAATCTGAAATTTTATTAAAAAAAAAAAAAATGTCAGAACCTCAATGCCACCTATCCTTTCATGTGTCATAGTCTCAACCATTACATCTTAGGCACCCTTCAGTCCCAAGAAACCATTATTTTTAAAATAGGGACCCTCATGGGATCATATACTCGCTCAAACCTTTTTTGCCTCAAGCCACCATGTCGAACGGGTTCGTTACTAATGCCATAAATTAATCAACAACTGTTGTATATGTACTATTAATCTGATGTGGGACATATAGTTTGATTTCTCCTAACGATTAAAATGACAGTAAAATCACGTGCGCCAAATTATCAGATTGGAAACCCTAATTTCAATATACTCCATTTTTACTTACGTTAATTAGTTAACAAAAAAAAAAAGAGAGCTCAGATTGTAGACTGTATCACATCCGATATATCAGAAGTGTGCGTAGGACCCAACCTACGCTGAAGCCAAATTCATCACAGCTCAAATGCACCAGCCGGGAATCGAACCCGGGTCTGTACCGTGGCAGGGTACTATTCTACCACTAGACCACTGGTGCTACTTAGTTAAAGTGTTCCTTTTTTATTGTTTTATATACATAAATCAAATTTTCTATTATATA